CGGACCACCGGGACCACCTGGACCGCCGGGAACTTTTGCCGGAGCATCCGCACCGGAAGAAACTGAAGTCATCCAGGGACCTGCAGGACCACCAGGTAAACACTGGCTGGATATTGCGATGAAGCACGCTATCTAGGATACTATAAATTTATAATAAACTAATTTTAATGCCCTGCATGTACCTTCACTGCTACTTGGAGAGGTTTTTTTTCAGGTTTGAAAGGCGAAAAAGGACGAGTGGGACCGGTTGGACCTCATGGATTTGCTGGTGCTGATGGTGCACCTGGATTTCCAGGAATTAAGGGGCAAAAAGGAGATCCTGGTGATCTGGGAGCAAGAGTAAGTGCATATTCTCTCATAAACTCAAAGGAATGTAAAACTCAATTTCTACACTAAGTTCACGATTCGTATCAGTGAGTGGTAGCCCAAGACAAAATAAACGGCTCAGGTTAACTCCAAAAGGGTTAGCACAAATACATCGAACAGGTGGTGGGTACTAACTGGAAATCTGCGTCTTGTGATCGAAAGGCCTGGCGTATGATAACATTTCACCAACATTATTAAAATGCGATTCTTACACCTGTTGTATGAGCTATCTTGGTATTCTTGGTATATGTATAAGTTTCAACCTGACTATGATCTTATTCTTGCGCGAGGAAATCTCATGGAAAAATCAACCTACGTTTTCGTGCACATTGATGGAACTCATTTGCAGGGCAAACGTGGGAAAGATGGCAGCATGGGCTTGATTGGGCAGAAAGGTGAGACCGGTATTCAGGGTGTACCGGGCCTTGACGGTTATCATGGACAGAAAGGTGCTGCTGGTGAACTGGGTTACGATGGTCGTGTTGGGCCAGAGGGTGATCCTGGACCACCGGGTGAGTTTGGTGCTGGTCGAGGACAGCCAGGACCACGTGGCCTGCAAGGCTTCGATGGAGCACCGGGACCAAAGGGTCGACCAGGTAATGCTGTATTAAAAACTCTTCCTTAATTTACCTGGGAAGCTTTCGGATGAATCTGATATCTCAAGGGGCTGCCTGCAGAGCTAATCTAACAAAAACATTCGTCACTAGCTAGGCTCCAATTAGCAAAACTGGTCCAGTTCAAAATGTACTGTTTGCCAACAGATCAGGCCGAAACATAAAAACTTTCATTTAGTTAAAAGTTTAGTGGCAATCAGTTTTCGTTTCTAATATTCGTTTCTGCAAGTATGGAGATGTGAAAAATAAAAGTTAGTAAATAGTACGAAATTAAAGCTTTCAAAAAGTGAGAAATTCAAATTTAATTTTTGCAGGAAGCCCAGGTATTATGGGCCCAGTCGGTGCACGAGGTCCAAACGGTGCCCCGGGTCCTCAGGGTGCTCCCGGCAAGAGAGGTATGCAAGGATACTCGGAGAAAGGCGAACGCGGTGCAGATGGGAATCCAGGATACGTCGGAGATGCCGGTGCACCGGGTGCTCCTGGGGAAAGCGGAAGAATGGGTGAACCAGGTCTACCCGGATTTGACATTCAAGGACCCCCGGGAATTGAAGGAAGACCGGGACGTGATGGTTATCCGGGTGTTCCGGGTGATGTTGGCGATCCTGGTTTAACTGGTCTCAAGGGATTTCCGGGAACTGGAGTGTCGAAAGTGGGCCCGCCCGGTATGATGGGTTTAATTGGACCACCTGGAGAAAACGGGCGAATCGGTTTGGACGGACTACCAGGAAGTCCTGGATATCCTGGCGAGAAGGGTGACGACTGTGGTTATTGTCCAGCTGGCATACCAGGACCGAAAGGTGATGCCGGTGTTCCGGGACAAGACGGATATCCTGGTCCTATGGGACCGAATGGAAATCAAGGAGCGCCGGGAATGAAGGGTCTTCCGGGAAAACCGGGACGACCAGGACCTGACGGACAGCAGGTACATTGATTATGTTAATGATATTTATCAGGAATTAAAAACCCTCTCCGAGTTTGCTCTTGCTGAGTGGCTGAGACACTCGGGATGTAACCTGGGTGATAATAAGTACCAACAGCAACCATTCGCTGGCAAAGCTGCTGATGGTTTCCTCTCTCTCGAGGATTACTTAGAAACAAGCTGATAGCGGATTTGACTTTTTTTTGTATACCAGTACCAATTTACTATCGGAACGACTGAACGAATCTTAGTATGTTACTTGCGGAATCGAACGCTCGATCTTCTGTTCAGAAGCAGTGCTGCTTCCATTGCGCCGTTCTTGCCGGTGCGGTTTTATGACCCGAATTTGAGGTTAACAGTTATCAGATATAAAAGTTCATGCACAAATTTTTCTCATTAGCTTGGAGCTTTTAAAAATTTCAGGGCTTTTTTAATTTGTAGGGCTCCGAAGGTTTGCCAGGATTACCGGGCTTTCCTGGTCTGAAAGGTGAGGCAGGTGAAATTATTGGACCTGTGGAGAATCCACGCGGATATCCTGGAGTCAAAGGTGAACGAGGAGAGCCAGGTAATTTTTTTCTAACAATTTTGCTTTTCTACTTTAACTTGCCTTTTCTTAGAAACGACTAAAATTCCAACTTATTTTGGGAGTGAACACGCAGGGATCTGGTACTTGCTCTGCGCTCCTGATGTTGTCCCAAAATCGAGTTCAGGTGGCAACTATTTCAAACTTTCTAGTCCCAGAATACCGTACCATTGCATTCGGAATGCAACTCAGTGGTCGCGAAAAAGCTGGCTGAGGGCAGCATCATCTTCTTCGTCCGCAGATCGGGAATCCGTCGCGGTCTGGCACTTTTGAACCGTACAAAACGTAATGGACAATCGGCTAAAAGCTAACGCTAATGTAATTTGCTACGTTTTTGATGTCCCAAAATATGGCCTGAGATTCATCACATATTCGGTTATGATCGGAGCGATATTATCAAGGCAATGTACGTCAGCAAGAATAGTTGGACGTTTATGATGGAAAAGTGGATTACTCAAGCAGTGTCAGAAGAAGACAAGAAAGGCTGCCAATTATAGTGGAGATACTCACTCGGTTAAACAGAAATTTTAAGAGTGAGAGGCCAGCAAGTTAGAGAAGAATGGAGAATTGCCATTAGTGGAGAGTGTAAACTTGTCCAAACCGCCATATATCCACACCGTAATAGTACAGCATGAAAATGATCCAAGCAGTACCGAGAACAAAAGCAAAACGATGAAACAACTGCTGATCAAACTATCAGAGTGAGTTAAAAGTAGTGTATCTGGTTTTATGGGAGCTCCCATTAATGTCGGTTTTCATCACATCCCCGTGCTTATTCTACATGCGATGCTGCAATTAAAATACTGTCATTACTGTTCACTTTACAGGTATTCCTGGTCTACGCGGTCAGCCAGGACTTGATGCACTACCCGGGCCACCAGGATTGAGTGGAGCACCAGGATATCCCGGTGAGAAAGGAATAGCCGGAATAGCTGGAAAGCATGGACGTGATGGATTGGTAAGTTTGATTGTTTTTTCCGATAAAACTTGGTATCTGATTTTTCGAGCAGCGCAAGAGAATCGAAGGGTCTGGTGCAATTAAGTTTGGCATGAAAAAGTTCCCCAGTAACATGAGATACCCAAAGCGATTGACCGGGCGATCTTGATATGCCTGGCTGTCATACCGTGTCTTTTGTTTTTTTTTTTTTCTTTCTTTTTTGCTTTCCCTTCAGAAACTTCCACTTTCACATGATACTATGTTTGAGCCAAAAAGCGGCCATTGAGGAGTGATTTCCGGAGAGGTACCACATAGAAATATGGAGCCCAGGGCTGAATAGGGTCCGACTTTTAGGAGCATCCCAGTAATATCACTAAAAGCAGGGGATACCCACACTGATTATTATATTTCTGG